GTGTCAAACAGGCACCAACTACACACATGGCAGCAGCAGATAGGTCATTAAGATTAATTCAATGGCCACTTGGTGGGCACATGAGTGGATCCTTCTCAAAGTGAACAGGCTGCACACAGAGGCCAAAGACCAGCAGAAGCCAGGAGACAGGGCAAATGAGAACCTCTTCAGTTCACCCCGATCTGAACCACAGGTATTCAACGGCCACAGCCTCCATAATGATGGTCTGGCAGCTATGGCCACACATAGTTGTCCTTTCTTCCCTCCATCCACAACTCATAACCCACAACCCTCAGGGCTCCCAATGGTCCTCCCCAGCCTGTAAAGCCCACCTGCCATCCCTATTTGGAGAGAGCTCCCAGGTGCAGCCCATAAGACTTGACCACCACCAGCTTGGCTCAAGTTGAATTATTGCCCCTTGTGGAATATATCACCACCTGACGAATAGGACTTAACTGAGAAGTCAATGAATCCATGAAAAGGGAGGCACAGAGGAGAAGCATAGCAAAATAATACCACATTAAGTCAGGAAAATTTCATCTTTTCTCTCCAGAGGATAATGACCTCAACTAAAACAATGTATCATAGTAATTATCCTAAGGATCTTTAGGCGTGCTGCTTCAAATCATCCAAAGTGTTCACCATAGTTTGCTTTCAATAGAATATACTTGCAGAGCTTGGCAAAGGTATAACAAAGATATTCTGTAATGCTCCTCCCTTCCACACTCTCAATCATTTTTTTTGGTTCTCCAAATGTGTAACCCCTTGAGCACAGACTGTCGCAAGAAGCAATATCTTCAGGAGAGAGGGAACAGGAGAAAATTGGCTGAGATGTTTTTGCAGCACGTCTTCCTGTTGGCAGGAAATACCATTCAAGAACACAGAAAATTATGTCATGGATTAATAGTAACTCTGGTTAGCACACTTACTGCCAAAGGATGCTTTCACACCCACGCACAGGTCTGCAGGAAAGATTGATATGGAAATTGTGTCTAATTATTTTCTCATGAAATGGTAATTCTGGATCACCAGCTGTCCTCACATAAAAGTGACTCAAATCCACAAAAAAAATCTCAAGCAGCAGATTCTAAAATAACATGAAGAATGAATTAAAAATACTGTTAACCCTAATCTCACTGTGTCAGATGATGCATTTATTTCCTTAGGACTTATTTACCCACAGAATGTTGTAATTATCAAAGAGATCATAACTACTAGCAAGGCTACATTTTTAGAATTGTATTTCATCTCCTTCCCCATACGGACTGAAAAAGGATACATCAGGATTGTTTTTAGTAGGGCACAACGTTAAATACATTGGATGTCCAAAGAAGTTTGGGTGTACAGGAGCATAGCTCTTTAAAACGCAATGAACAGGTGCAGAAAATAGTCAAGAAGGCTAATGGAATGCTGGCCTTCATAGCTCAAGGTCTGGAGTATAAGGATGCAGACATTATGCTGCAGTTATACAAAACCCTAGTTAGATCCCATTTAGAGAACTTTGAGCAGATCTGGGAACCACACCTTAGGTAGGGTACTTTGGCCCTGGCAGGAGTTCAGCGCAGGTTTACAAGGATTATACTGGACTTCAGTAGTTAGGTTATGAGGAGAGATTAGACAAATTAGGCCTTTATTCTCTAGAATTTAGAAGGTTAAAGGGTGATCTAGTCGAGATTTTCAGGATATTAACAGGGAAAGACAGGGTAGACAAAGATAAACTATTTCCACTGAGTGAAGATTATAGAACCAGGGGTATAATCTAAGAATTAGGGCCAGGCCATTCCGACGAGATGTTAGAAAGCACTTATATACACAGAGTAGTGGACATCTGGAACTTCCTTCCTCAAATAGTGGTCACTGCTAAATCAATTATTAAATTTAAATCCGAGAGAGACAAATTTTTATTAAGAAAGGACTTTAAGAGGTATGGGCCCAAGGCAGATTTGAGGGGCTGAATGGCATCTTTCTGTTCCTCTGTTCTTGACAGAAGTGAACTTGAAAATCTGTTTGATCTTTATGCGAGTTATAGAGTTCAGGTGTGAACAGATATTTGACAGTGAAGAGCAAAACCAAAGATTACTTAAATAATCATTCACTCAGAGAGTGGTGAGAATTTGGAGCTTACTACCATGTAAAATAGTTGAGACAAATAGCATAGATACTTTAAGAGGCAGCTTGATAAGTCTACCAAGATGAAAGGAATACAGTATGTTCATAAGGTGAAACAGGCTGGCTTAGAGATGGCAAATGCACAGCAATGTCACATTGACAGGCAGCTGCATTTCAGGTTCCAAAAACTGGCATATTTCTGTCATGAAGAAAAAGACAGCCTTCACTGATATTGCCTGTAAGAAAAGTGGTATGCACTCAGGACACACTATGGTATGGATGCTCGGACATTGAGTGATGCTTGTGAGCATCAGACAGCTCTTTTCCAGCATCATCTGTGTCCTTATCATCATCATCCTCAAATGATGGGAACAGTGGAATCCCAAGAGGCAGAAGATCTGTTATTCACTATACAGGAGCCCATTAAATTTTTAGAAAATTTCTTACAAGACCTTTGAATTCTGATAAACTGTCATGTCTACGTGGAGAAAATGAATTGCAGAATCTTATCCTCGTGTGATCTTAAAGATCTCTTCCTGCCTGTGGGACACTATCCTCACGGGCCATTACTTCCACTTTTCTAGTGGCAATAATTAACAGGGTTGGTAGGCAGGCAAAAACACAGAAATCATGGAGGTATTTAGTGACTCTTTGTAAGGAAAGCTTGAGCAATCGCGTTGCATGTGGCCATAACAAGTGCACAGTTCTGAGTCAGAGTTCCACATTTATCAGAAAGGAAGCTGTTCTTATTAATTTTTACTTCTGTACCTTATTTCAATAACATCAATAATTTGTGTTTTTACAACAGTTTAATGGTATTAGAACATCTCAGGACACTTCACAGTAATATTATAAAACAAAATATGACATAGCATCCCATAAAGAAATATTAGGGCAGTTGACCTGCTCCTAATTCGTATATCACCAGGAGCCTATTGGTTTAGTGAGTACAGAGGTGATGGGTGAATTGTGTCCTTGTACATGACTCACAAAATGCTCACATCCAAGTTCACCAAGTAATAGGATAGGCAAAACGAATGTTGGCTTTTATTTCAAATAGAGTGGTGTTGGAAAACTGCAGCGGTCTTCATAAAATTATACAAGGCTTCAGTCAGACTACAACTTGAATACTGTGAACAATTTTAGCCCCCTTGATGAAGAAAACATATTCTGGCACTAGCGACAACCCAGAAAATGTTTGATAGGTGATTTCACATATGACAAGATTTTCTTTTGGGAGACATTGAGTAGGTTGGGCCTGTATTCAATGGAGTTTACAAGAATGACAGATGACCTTATCGAAACATACAAGTTTCTTAGGAGATTGACAGGGTAGATAGAGAGAGATTGTTTCACCTCTTAGCAGAATCTAGGACCAAAGGGCATAGTCTTAAGAGTGAAGGCTCACCGACTGACAGAGATGAGAAGGATTTTTTTTTCCTTTCAAAGGCTAGAGAATCGATGGAATTCTTTGCCTCAGATGGTTGTCTAGAATGGGTCATTAGGTATTTTCAAGGCTGAGATATTCAGATTTTTAATCAGTATGGGAATCAACGATTATGAACAAAAGTCAGGAAAGTAGAGTTAAAGATTATCAGATCAGCCTCATGATGTCATTGATTGGCAGAGCATACTCAAATGGATCAAATGGCCTACTTCGGCTCCTGGTATTATGGGTCCAGAACAAGAGGTTACAGTCTCAGGATATGCACTGGGCCATTCTAGTCTGAGATGAAGAGAAGATTTATCATTCAGATGGTACTGACCCTGTGGAATTTTCCACCACACAAGGCTGTTGAGGTGAAATCACTGAATATATTTAGGAAATAAGTAGATTTCTAGAAGATAAATTGTGTCATGAATGTGATGAGAGAACATGTGAATACAAAATTGAGATACAGAAACAATCATGATCGTGTTGAATGGCAGAATGGGCTCTATGGGCTGAGTGCCTACTCCTGCTTCTATTTTCTATGTTCCTAAAAAATTTAAGAAATTGTCCTTTTTTAATTCATTTATTCATGGGATATGGGCATTGCTATCAAGGCTAGCATTTACTGACTACATTTAATGGCCTTTCAGAAGGTAATTACCTTCTTGAACTATCTGGTTTTGTGCATCCACATTGATGTTGAGGAAGAAATTCTGATCTGTCAACAGTGAAGGAACAAAAATGTACTTCAAATTGAGGATGGTACATGACTTTGTAAAGAACTTGCAGGGGGCAATGTTCCACGTTCTGTCAAAAGAGCCTGAGCAAGCTACTGCAGTGTATCTTGTTGAGGTTCCAGGCTAAATAAGCTGCTCCCACAATGCTGTGAAAGCTGACCCAAAGTCAAAAACTCCATGGTACTCACCACTGGCATCTCCTCATATGAACGTATAGAAGACAATCTGTCTATAAATAGATACAAAAAAAGTATCTCTCAGGAATTACTTTACTTATATTTTTAAGTGAGCTTTGTGAAAAGGCAGTAAAGAAATGGGATTCTAAAATAATTTAAGGCAAAATAATTAAGTGATAAAATGATCAACTAATGTTTATTCTACTTGTATAAACAATTCATAGCGTTGATTTATATTGTGTTTTTAGAAACTCTATATAAATTTTAATCTCCTTTTGACATAATGGATTTTACTTCTGTATTAAATTCAATTGACCCAAAGCTATTTAATACTTTGTACAGAAAATAAACAGCATTTTACAAAAGAAATTAAGATAGTAGTATTGTGAAATTACTTACCTGTCGGATTGCCACGAATATACTCCTTTTTCTCTTCTAAAATTCTAATTTGTCTCTCTAGTTGTAAATTCAATTCAATATGTGTTTCATATCGAGTCTTCCACTCATTTCCTAACAAAGGATTGAAACAGAACTTTAAAAATATTTCACATTACATTTTCATACTGTATTGTATTCATAAAGTTATTTCTAAAAAAAAGTGTTTTATGCCCGGAGTAAAGAATACTGCTTGATTAAAACTTTTCTTCTTATGTACCTTCATCTTCAATTCTGTCTAATCGCTTTTCCAGTTGAGACACTGTGTTTCGCAAATCAGAAGCAGATAAGTCAAGCATGTCCCTGTTTAACAAACAAGAGGTAGTACACTAAAATCATATAAAATTATAGTAAAACCCAAGCAGATTATTTCAAGTGCTTGAGATGAGCTTTTAAAATTTAGACACAGTAATAAGGTAAAAAAAAAGTTTCTGAGCACTTAAAAGGGATTAATATTAACACCACCAGAAGAACAGTTTTTAAACATACTTACGATATTGCTATACATCCTTATAACAGTTTCTAAAATGCAGCATACGCAATTGTAATACGGTATCACAGTTTTTCCATTTCCATAACTTGGAAATTGAACTGATTGAATAAAGTCTTCCACATGAAATACATTCTCATTTCCCACCTGTGATAAGGGAAAGGAACTGGTGATCTTCGAAAGCTAGAGGAAATAAACATTGTAGGGCAGCCTAATAGGATTAAAATGTGATTACAATTTCAATTTAAAGCATTGTCTGCTGTAGAAATGCTCAATATTATCTCACACTGATGAGCATAAATTTCCACTGCCTCAAAGTATCATTTTTTTGAGAATTTGCAGAAGTAACAAAATCAAGAAAAACAAATGAAATGTAGCAGAACGAGAACAATTATGGTTTGTTATATTGTTAGTGGTGTTACTGTGAAACTATATGCTATCATCTCAAAAGCAAGCTGCCTGAATCCTTCAACTTAACCTCAAACTCAAGAACCCAGTTGAAAGCCTTAATTTTCAGTTCATTACTGCTTAAGCTTATTGCTTCTTGCAAACACAAAGAAGTGACCATTAATAGTTAGAATTATGTTAGAATTAATTTTAAAATTAATTTTAATTAATTAATTTTAAAATTCTGTTGAAAGAGAATTTTAATAGACTTTGAATTCTACCATACATTTTAAATTTTGACATAAAAATATTCCATCACAAGTTAATAAGGAATACACTATTACCATGCCTACTAAGGAAATCTGTAAAATAACCAGGGCTACACAGTGGTGTAAAACTACCACTTCAAATCCAGTCATTATAGCATTAATACTTAGGAAGCTCTTCTAACAATATCCCAACTCTTAGGCTGATTTGAGCTACAACAGCAGCATGGGTGTGAGCAGTTTTTACTTGAACTAATACTCTTTTCTTTTGTTGGCATCCCAACCAAATTTGCCTAGGCAGTCTAGCCATGCTTAATGAGTTAGTTTGGGCATCGACTCTACAATTGCAGTCCAACTTTAGAGTTAATGATAAGTAAAACAAATTTTCATTAACACCACCATCAACAATGTGATCTTTCAATGTCTTCGAGACTAGTATTAGCCACAGATTAAAAAAAGCAATATTGTACAGTTATAATCAGTACAAATTTGTCTGACACCTGTTATGAATATTTACAGCTGGGTGCAAAAGCGTACAGGTTATGTTATTGGACCAGTAGACAAATGATCCAGACATAAAAGTTCAAATTCCATCAAAACAGCTGTAGAATTTAAATTCAATTGATTAAGTAAATTTGGATTTAAAACCTTTGTTTAAAAATAGTGACTATGAAATGAAGCAGGAACAGCACAGATCTCAGAAATATATGCTTCCAGGATACCTGACAGGACTTGTAGGATGTGGTTCCTCACAGATGACTTGCAACGTTCCCTCTAAGCTGTATCCACAGCCACTTTGATGATTTATTTGTGATGGTAGGCATGGCCATTCCGGTTGCAGCATTGACATCTGGTTTTGGAAGTCACTGCAGTACATGGGCCTTGGAGGCCCACAAAGCCAGTAAGTAAATTAGAGGGAACACTGATGCCCTGTACATAGATGGAAGGAAACACTTTTCTGTTACGATAGCTTATTATGATGTGATGCTCTCAACACAAAGTGTTTACAGTCTATAGTGCCCTATGCCTGTGGGAAGCTGGCTGCGTCGACAAAGTCTAATGCCCGGGCTGCAGCACTGACTTTGTTACAAGGAAACAAACAAGTGGTTTATCAGTCACAAATCACATTGGTTACAGCCTTGATACATTTGTGCGGCAAGAATTGAGAGATCCGCCATTGGTCTCCAGTGATTCTGGGAAGCAGCAAGTTGTATAAATATTTAGTACAGCTGTCACCTTGACAGTCCCGAGATGACCATCCACTCCTTCAGTTTGCACTATTTACGAGATGCACTGCAGAAATTCACCAAAGATCCTCAGATAGCACTTTCCAAGCCCATGACCAGAAGGACAAGGGCAGCAGATACATGAGAATACTATCTGCAAGTTCCCCTCCAAGCTACCCACCATCCTGACTTGGAAATCTATCGACATTCCTTCAGTGTCACTGTGTCAAAATCCTGAAATTCCTTCCCCAAGAACATTGTGGGTCAACCTACAAGACATAAGCGGTTCAAAAAGACAACACATCAACACATTCACAAGGGCAACCAGGTACAGGCAATAAATTGCTGACCAATCAGTGATACTCACATCCCACAAATGAATTTTAAAAAGTTCCCAAATTTTCCTCTAAGAGATGACAGTTCCGTGATGGCATCTCAGCAATGACTCAGTTTATGGCAACAATGTCCCTCACTCATCTGGAGGAAATGGCTTTGAGAACAATAGGTTCTGGACCTCCTGTACCTCCTCCACATCCTGAGAGGAACTTCAGTTACAGTTTCTCCGTGAATTGTTTATTCAGCAACCGAGGGGACTTGCATTTACTCCTCCTCGATTCCTCTGTGCCTTCATTGCACCAAGGCCAGAACGACAATAACATCTACTGGGTGGCTGAATCAATTGGTCAGAGTTCCAACGAAATTATGCAGGGAATATAGGAACAGAAGAAAGTAGGAACAGAGTAGGCCATTCAGTACATCAAGCCTGCTCTGCCATTCAATGTGATCATGTCTGACTGAATACTTTTGTTCACCCCATCCCCATAACCTCGTAGGCCCCTGGTAATCAAAAATCTATCAATCCCTACCTTAAACCTACAAAGAGTGAGCCTCCACAGCCCTCTGCGGCAGAGAATTTCAAAGTTTCACAATGCTCTGCGTAAAACAAAAATCCTCATCTACACTTAAGTGGCATCCTCTTATCTTTAAATTGTGCCCCCTGGTTCTAGACTCCCTAACCAGGGGAAATATCATATCTGTATCTAACCTATCTATCCCTTGAAACATTTTGTAAGTTTCAATGAAATCACTTCCCATTCTTTGAAACTTTGGAGAATATAAGCCCTGCAATCAAATATGCGAGATACCAATCATGGCCGCAAGCAGTTTTGACCATGCCATTGATCTTTACAAGTTGATAACAGTCATCTCCGTGAAGCAGAAGTAACCATAGATGACCTTAAAGGTATCAACTGTGGGTCACAATTCACAAAGAACATTCAAAGTCTCATAGGCTGCACAGGAGGTGATTTCCTCTCACATTGAACTATAAGTATTTGCCACACTGGCCTACTGCCCGGATTGTAATGATATGGAACACATGTCCCTGACGACCCCAAACAGCTGACTGGCTGTATCTATTCCCCTGGGTTGAGGACAGACACTGCCCTTGACTTGACTGAGGTCTGCTCCAATTAGACTTTGAGATATGGCCATTTGGCTGAAGCACATGCTGTGTATTTGCTATATAAGCTGTTGGCGCATGCTGTAGGTGTAATACTGACATAGCAAAGTGCCGTACAGCAACATATCCAACCACTTGACTGATTACTGCTGACAACTATGACAAGCTTCCGGGCTTTGTGTCTGTGCTAAAAGGCAAGGCGATACAGAACTACTGTCAGCTTGTAAGCTCTGAAAGGGGCAACAAAGTGCAAATAGGCAAGGAAATACATGATGGAGATACTGCAAGTGTTCAAGCAGGCACAAAGTCAGTAAGCACTAAGAACACAAGCAAAGAATTCTGAGATGCAGCCTGCTCCAATGCATGAGACAGTGCCTGTCTCTGCACACAGGGGTCCGGCAGCAGCATTACAATGAAAGGTGTGGTGTATTCCGAAGAGCAGAATTAAAGTGGACAACTGTTTTCTAAATAGGTCAGAGATGTGCCATGATGATGCTGTGACGTTTGTGTGTGTTTGCTGCCATCCTCTGGGGATTGGGGATGGGAGGACTGTGTGTGTGTGTGTGTGTGCGCGCGTGCGTGCATGTGTGTTGGTTGGAAGTGTCACCCATGGGGTTTACTTACCTTACATTGTTGGGGACTGCTGTCCAAGCTGGAGGCCTGAAGGAGCAAGCAGAAAGCTAGTGCTGTCAGGTACGCACTCTGACTTTCATACAGGGAATTATCACCATCTAGTTTCTCTCATTATGAAATCCCACTTTTATCTCTACATTCAATATATCAGCTAACTTACTCAAGCCTTGGTCAATGATTTTAAATAATCCTTTTTAATGTTTTCAACTCCCAGAACAATCTGAGCAACAGTCAAAGCCATTTTGAAATTCTAATCCATGTAACATCTTTCACAACAATACCCAGTTTTAAGGTTCAGTACCTCAACGTAGACATTTCTTTAAAAGACTCTCAGATTCTTAAATTCAAAATATTTCTATCCCGTCAAAACTGTTCACCATTGTTATGATCCCCGTTACTGCACAACTCATTGCCCACGGTGAAACCCCATCGGAATGAGATGCCTAAAATTGATTATCCAGCATTTAGAATTAAAAGCAGGGAACCTGATGTTGATGTGTCGGTGCCAGAGTTTGCTAAGACCTGGTTAGAAATCAAAAAGCTTGAATTAGCAGTAAAGAAGAAAGAGGGAGAAAAAAATTAGAGACCGGAGGAAAAGAGAAAATAGCAGACAGGAGAAAGAAAACTAAAACAGAAAGGGAAAGAGTAAACAGCATAAATAAAAGAGCAATAAAAAGGGAGGAGGAACAAAGGAAGAGAGAACTGGAAGTTTATTATTTGTGAGATAGTAGGAACTGCCAATGCTGGAGTCAGAGATAGCATAGTGTGGAGCTGGAGGAACACTGCAGGCCAGGCAGCATAAGAGGAGCATGAAAGCTGACGTTTCGGGTCGGGACCCT